AATGAGAACTGAAACTTAAGTTAGAAAAAACTTTTTGCAAGCTTTCTAAAAAGTCGCATACATATGACTGCGTTCATAAAATGACAAGAACAATGTATTTCATGTTGTGTTATGAAGTAGTAGAATGTAATTGACATGTTTTCCTATTCAGTTATTAAGAAAAAAGTTATATCTTTGGCAAATATTAAAACTGTAGCCAAACACAAATATAATTATTATTTATTAGTTTTGGATATGAATGGGGGTAGGTGTCTAACATAGGCAAAAAAAAGATCGAAAAGAGGGGACTCCCCGGCCTCTACATCAGAACAATGCATACGGCCACCTTTATAGAAAGCAAATAGGTTCAACAATGTCTTACAGTCTGAAATTAAAGTAACGGCAAGCTCACAAAGAGCCACAACGCCAAAAACAAAAAAGCCAAGAGGCCACAACCGGCTAGCAAAACAAAGATAGGAAAACTAATTGCTTTCTATTACATGACCGTCATCCAAACCGGTTGAAGATATCCCGTGCTATCATCTCCCACCGGATACATCTAGTGACCAAACGCTCTCTGGCCTCTGTCGGAGTGAGTAACGACCACATACGGATCAACGCAGTGGCTCGGAATATAACCTGCAAAAAATGAATATTTGTTGTTCTGTTAAAAGTCAAATCATTTCTGCAATTCCAAATTGCCCACAACAAAGCACATACTCCTACGCGAATGTATCTAGCTGTTTCGGACTCTATCCCAACAAGCCACTTTCCAAATAATGTACTGACAGAATTCGGTGGAAAAATGTTAAACGCAATGTGCACCGTCCGCCACAAAACTTTGGCCAGCGGGCAAACAAAGAACAGGTGTTTGATGGTTTCATCCCGATCATAAAAACTACACCTAATAGATCCTGTCCAGTTGCGTCTTACCAAGTTATCCTTCGTTAAAATGACTTGTTTATGTACAAACCACATAAACATTTTAATTTTCAAAAGAACTTTGACTTTCCAAACATATTTGGAACTAGGAACATAGGCAATGCCGGTCGCAAGACCGGAAAAAGAGGAGGGAGAACAATAGATTAACCTTTGTGACTATCAAGCAATGCCTTACTTATATTATATTGGTTTTATTGTACAAAGATTGAAATGAATAATAGTTAAGTCATTGATTACCATCACCAGTACATTAGGTAATCATTAACATAGAAAACTATGCAAAAACATGTGCATTATAAATGTCCTCCCATCATATCTAAGAGGTGGGATATAAGATCAATTATGAGCTGAATAAATAGTATGATATAAGCATTGGAAAATCAAAAGAAAGCAAACACGTAGTTACATTTCACAACATATATTGGAAAATGCCTCATATATATTTAAATGTTACGACATTTGGTTTCAGATTTACTTTATATAAATCAGAATAATATGTTCTGATAATGAAAGGCTAAGATACTACCTCTGTAACTTAACTTTGTTAGATTCTGGTTGGAATATACAACCGCTGCAGTGCTGGAGAACTCCCCAACTGGCAAAAGTTGATGCTTTCTATGCCTCCACATGCGTACAGCGTGAGCTTCTTAAGAGAGGATGGTAATTTCGTTACCATCTGCGTATTCAACTTAGGACAATATTTAACAGTCATCTCCTCCAAACAAGAAAAACCGTGGAGCCTATCAACAGGTAGGGACATCAACTCTGGACAAGATTCAATAAGAATGTTCTTCACAGCAGGTAGATAAGCTGGTGTCAGGAATTCATCTAGACTCAATAATCCTCTGCATCCAATAATAGTTAGTCTAGCAAGGGATGAGAATGCTCCAACATTCCTGCTGCTGCTTGCTTCAGAGACTGTCAGAGCAACATTTATTGAAACGTCAATGAACCTGAGGTCTGGGCAATTCCAAATCCATAGTCCCTCCAGTAGTAGAGAACTCCCCAACTGGGGAAAGTCCATGGTTTCTATGCCTCCACATGCATACAACATGAGTATCTGAAGAGAGGATGGTAATCTCATTGCACTCTGCGTATTCAACTTAGGACAAAGTTCAATAATAATCTCCTCCAAACTAGAGAAACCATGGAGCTTATCAACTGGCAGGGTCATCAACTCTGGACAAGATTCAATGTGAATGTTCTTCACAGCAGGTAGAAAAGCAGGTGTCAGGAATTCATCAAGACTCAATAATCCTCCGCAAAAATAAATAGTTAGTCTAGAAAGGGATGAGAATGCTCCAACACTTCTTGCTTTAGAGGCTCCGATAGATGTAAGGGAGCTACAACACCCGATACATAAATCTTCAAGAGGATGAACGTTGTCTGACACTTCTTCATGACAGAGTGGTTCAAAGAATGATATGCTCTGAATGTTATGGCATGAAAATAAAGTAAGTGAACGTAACTTTGGCAGGAGATTAGATCGGAGCCAGATAGGACAAGATACACCTAAGAAATTCTCTATTTCCAAATGTTGGAGATTCCAATGAGGTAATTCTTCCATCATCTGTAGCTGTTTCTCACCATTAATTCCAGTGGAGATCCATTTTAGAGAGTCTGTCAGAGTGTTCATTGTTATAATCAAGGTGCCTTGATTTAATTTTTTGTAAGCCGATGACATCACCAAAGCCATGGGGGAAGCTTTCAAACTCACATTCCCGAGCATCTATAATTTTGAGATGATGTAGGCAACAAATCATTGAAGGAAGGGTGCTCAAATTTCCAAATAAACAAAGGTAACGCAGGTGCTTTGAAGTGCCCACGCTCTCAGGTAGCTGTGTTACTCTGGAAAGCTTAAAACTCAATACACGGATTTTCAGGAGTTGCTTGAACCAAGAGTCAATCACGACAACGAACTTGGTTGGACTGCTATAATATTCATTGCAAACCAGGGACCGCAATTTTTTCTTGTTGCATATGCTCTCCAATTCAGAGCATCCAACATTTGCCTTAGTGAATATTGAGAGATGACGAACATTTGAAGGGACTTTGTGTAGGTCACTTGCATGCTTTATGATGAAGCACTCGTCCTTTGAGACTAGTTGTGCCGTGTCATGAATCAAGTCATGAATTACAAACTTACCAGTCTCGCGCGGATGTCTCTGAAAGAATGACCGATTTGCAAGGTTATCAAAGCAAAATGATGCATCTTGTGGCTGTACATATCCATGCGCTATCCATAGATTGTATAAAACTTCCTTTTCAAATACATGATCCTTGGGATACAATGCACAAATTGAGAAGCATCTCTTCAATTGCGGTGGTAGGTACATATAGCTCAGTCGAAGGGCTGGCAAAATGTCAGTCGCATCTTGTTCTAATTGCCATAACTCACTTTCCAGTATATATTTCCAATGTGTTGTGTTCAAGCCCATACGCAACAAGCGTCCAAGAGTTTTTGCGGCCAAAGGAGAACCTTTCAACTTAGGAAGTATATCTCTACCGATGTGCTCCAACTTTGGGTCGTTGGAAGGACTACTGGATCCAAATGCACATACTTTGAAGAACTTCCAGAAAACAGGTTCTGGCAAACCTGCTAAGCTGCAGTGGTTTATGGTGCCAACTAGATTAGCAACCTCATAAGATCTAGTGGTGACCAAAATCAAACTTTCCTGAAGGCCATTTTCCAAAGGTTTACAAAATCTCTTCCATACCGCCCCGCCTTCTTTCAAGATATCGTCCCACATGTCATCAAGGACAAGTAAGAACTTTTTTGACTTGACATGACTAGCTAGATTTGTCATAAGGATATTCAGATTATCTGGTGGTGTATGTGTTCCTAAATGCTGCAAAATCTCTCTAGTTAACCTCTTTATGTCAAAATCATCTGAAACACATGTCCAAATTATGCAGTCAAAATGTTTCATCACCCTTTTATCATTACATATATGTTGGGCCATAGTTGTCTTTCCGATGCCCCCCATGCCAACTATTGGCAACACAGCCAACTCTGTCAGTGTTTCTTCACCATAAGTATTTCTTCTCTTGCGTGCACCTACTAGCATTTGCAGCAAGTGTTGTATTTCTTTATCACGACCAAATATTTGTGGTTCGTTAGACAAAGAACATGTTTCTGGCCTGATTGATCTGTCAAACTTCTGTGGTGCTTGATGCAAGCCCAAATCCTTCGACTGTTCATAGATATGATCTAGCTTGCCTTGTATTTCCTTCACTCTGCTGAAGTGGGCACAGTCCTTGATACTGTTATAGAACCGCAGAAAGGCAGCTTCCATATGATCTTGCCCCGAATTCTTGCTCTGCTCAACCCCCAACTTGATCTCATAGTAATCAAACTCATCAAGGAAGTCCTCAGCATCGTACATTGAATCCTTGATATCTGGGAGGAGGTCAGCTGCTTGTTTCTTATGGCTCTGCCACTAACGCGATCAATGAGGTCAAGCATCTTGGGCGTCATAGTTGTCCTGAGCTTCCAAAGGTCGTTCTCCAGCTGCCGAAGCTGCTCCCTCGCCTCATGAATCTGATTTTGCGCAACTGTATCGTCTTGGTCTACCAGCTGATGTCTAGCTGGTACGATGCCTGGTGTGACCAGGCTGAAGAATTCATGACACACATTGATCACCTGGGGTAATTCCTTGGCTGGCATGTTGGGGTCTTCTCTACTCTTGCAGTTTTCTTGGGGCTTCGTGTGCTCACATACAACCATCAAATTCACCTCATCAACAACTTTACTGGCTTCTTCGAACATGCGTTCTGTGATATCCTCATCTCTAATACCCCCACTCACTTTCATGCTCTGCACAATAATATTATTGGCATGGTCGTGAAACTCGTGATCATGAACATCTCTTGCTTGCACTGTTATCTTCATACCATACTTGGATTTTGGTTGCACAATGCCTTTGTATGGCTGTGCGTCGTATAGTTGTTTGCTTGGTAATTGGATGTTGAAGGCAATGCAATTACGTGTCATTGGTTAGCTCGATTGAGCACGATATGTCCTTTTTAAGCTCAGCAGGAAGCCATAGTTCGAGTGGTTTAATCCCAAGCATGTCATCTTCTTCAAAACAAGGGCTTACCTGCAGGAAGGAGCTATATGAGTTTAGCTGATGATGCATACCCCCTCCATTTGATAAGTTGAATTTGTACCAACCAAAATTCTGTGTTTATACTATCCAAATATAAAATTCTGTGTTGATGGAGACAAAATATGATGAATACAATTCATGTCAATGAAGTGTTATGTGAGGATAGGATATGGTAGGAGGTATATGTTGGTGATGTGCAAATAAATACTCCCTTTGTAAACTAATATAAGAGCGTTTAGATCACTATTTTAATGATCTAAACGCTCTTATATTAGTTTACGAAGGGAGTAGATCACATGGAAACAATATTATGAAGACACAACCCATCAAAAATCACATGTCGTTCCTACCCTTGCAAATCAACTAGAGACCAGGAGCAACAACATGTTTGTGTAAACATATTAAGTGATTGAATGGTTAATATGTTAATTACCCTAAGTCAAAGTGGGACCATTAGTTAATTACGGGATTAACACTAACTAATGGTAATTAGCAATTTGCGCCTGTGATTGGGGGGCTAATTACTAATATGGTTAGGTCCCACGTCATATACAGCGCTATATATAAAGGAGGGTACCCCTGCACCTATTTGATCGTTGTATCGTTTAGGATAACAATGCGTCAGTGCCTTTCGAAATTCACTCCAAATCCAATCGAGAGCGCGCTGGATGTTGACGTGAAGGCCTGTCCTTGCTCCGGCGAGGTGCCGGAGTGATCTACTACGCTGCTGCAGTTCGTCATCGGACTCCACTTCCTCCACTGAGATGGCCTCTCCAAACGGAGGTATAAACACACTACTGTCCACTAATTTCCGCATCAAATCGAGTAGTGTTCATATGTATTAGATAAGATCCGATTAGCAGTTGCATAATTTCAGCAATTAGTCTAACATTGGCTATCAGTAGCCGATTGGATCTAATTACATGAATCTATTTGAGAAAATTGGCAGTAGATCAATCTGTGTCATAGAACTTGCCTGAAAATTCGCGTATTTAGGCCTTGCCCGTGCACATCAGGGTGGTGCTACCACCGCCGTGCGCCTCACTGTGCTGCTGCTGTTGCTGTGTGCATCAGGAGCTGCTGCGCGCACAGGTCGAGCTCGCGCCGCCGTGAACATCAGGAGGCACCGCGCGCCTCAGGCCATGATCCCGCTGCCGCTCGCCTCAAGGTGGCGCTCCCACCGCCGTTGTGCGCGACGCATCAGTGCGCGCATCAGTGAACGGCTAACTCGCCGCCGCAACTACCGCTTATCCGATCCGGTTTCTTGTGAGCGGCGGCGGCGCAGTAAGAAGCTCGATTAGGGATTTGACTAGCACACGAGTCTGGTAACTGACTAGCTGCGGCTGGCTATGATATTATTTGGGCTATGCGAGTTACTGGGCCGCACAACAATTTTCTTTTCTGGCTAACGATGCGATGGCAAGTATTAAGAGTGCGGCAGCATTTTTTCCAGTACTACGAGAACTAGTACTAGCAGATATGTTATTAACTCTCTGTACGTAGTACACATATAAGTCTGCTGATTATTTATAATATACAGTTAATTCTTGTATAATCAGTAGATTTATTTTTTGCCTAATTGTTTTAAATTAAAATAGAACCAGCGTGAAATTTTGGTTTAACACTGCAATATTTTTTTTGGGATAGTTGCCATAATTAATTTTAGTAATGCATGATTACATACTGACCAATGTTGTTCGTGATCATGAATATTACCGTTAACTTCCTGATGATGTTATTATATGATTAGGTCCTCTTTTGTTATTGCCCAATGGTATTGCGAATTAGGATTTTATTAAATTTGCCATGTTATTAATCAGACCAACATAGTATTGATATCATGCAATGTTTTTTTTAATATGGATATTTTCATAATTCGTAATTTTGATATCCATGTTATTTATGTTTTATTCAGCGTTGAACCCCTCTCTTATTTCTGGGCTCCTAAACTCAATTGAGCACCTCAATGGGACTAACTTTCCTGCATGGAAGGAGCAGATTTCCATTAACCTTGGGGTCATGGATCTTGACTACGCACTAAGGGAGAAGGCTCCAGTTCCCTTTTCCTATGATGATGAAAACCTTGGTGAGAAAATTAAGGTTTATGAGGCTAACAAGGAGAAGTGGGAACGCTCCAATCGATTTGTCCCTGATGATCATGAAAAGCACAATTACTCTTGGGATTAGGGGAGCTATCCCCGATTCCGAATGTGCTAACACTTATCTGGCATCGGTGGAGGAATAGTTTAAAGGCTCCACAAAAGTCTATGCCAGTACAATGATCATGAAAATGCTCACCACTAAGTATGATGGTGCAAGCGGTGTGAGAGAACATATCATGACTATGAATGATATGGCCGCATAATTAAAGGGCATGGACATGGAGATTTCTGAGGGCTTTTTGGTTCATTTCATTATGACTTCCCTTCCTGTGGAGTTTGGTCCATTCAAGATCAACTATAACACATAGAAGGAGAAGTGGACCATGGGTGAGCTCACGGCTATGTGCGTTCAAGAAGAGGAGCGACGTCTTAAGGTTGAGAGAAAAGATTATGCTCATCTTACTTCCATGAACTCGGGCAAGAGAAAGCTTAATGGTGAAAATAAGACTCGGGAAAAATTAGGTCCTTCACATAAGGCTGAGTCAAGCAAGTCTGGGGCCAAAAGGTCAAAGCCTTCTGTTGCTAATGAGCCTTCTGCACCTAAGAAGCCTTATTGCAAGTTTTGCAAACATGACGGATATAAGCAGAAGGATTGCGATGGCTTTAAGGCATGGCTTGAAAAGAAGGGTATGGACACAATTTCCATGGTTGATGAATCCATTTACACTGATTTTCCCCTAATACTTGGTGGGTTGACTTAGGTGCCACTGTGCACATTTCTAACTCATTGCAGGGATTCCTTACCGTGAGGATGCTTCAAAGGGGGGAGCGATGTAACGCCCCGAATCCGATGCGCCAGGTGTTTTCCAGTTATTCGATGTCGTTGCCATGTCATTTGCTTGCGTGTTGCACTTTGCCATGTCCTCTTCTGCATTTCATCTGCATATTTTTCAAAACTTGCATCCGTTCGGGTTCCCCCGGTTCTCTCTGTTGTCCGTTCTGAGCCCAACCACTCTCGCACGCGCCCGTCGCACCTCTTAGATCTTGTTTTGTGAGCCGCCGAAAAAGTTCCCGGAAGGGGCCGAGATTTGCCGAGTGGCCTTGGTATATCACCGTTAGACCGCCCATCAAATTTCGTTCCAGTTGAAGGTCATTTGATGCCCCAGCGGTTAACCGAGTTAACCGAAACCCCCTTTTCTTTGCAGCCCAGCACCTCTTTCCACAACCCACCTAGCTCATCTAACTCCCCTCCGTGCTCTCCGTCGTTCGATCATGATCGTGTGGGCAAAAACCGCACCTCATTTGGACACTCATAGCTCCCTCTACCTATAAATAGGCCCTCCCCTTCAATTTTCGCGGACACATCCAGAAAGGTGATGGCGCGGGGTGCCGGTGATGGGGAAGGCGGCGGCCAGCGCTGCGGGTGAAGGCGACGGACGGCGGCGACCGGCGAAGAGGCGGCGGCGGAGGGGCTCCGAGGTCGAGCGCGGGATCGGGCGCGGAGGCGCGGCGACCCGGGCCGGGAGGGCCGCGGCTGGGCCCGGCAGGCCCGCGCGGTGGAGACGGCTGCGGGGACACGTGGCAAGGCCGGATTGGATGGGGCGGCGGCTGGACATGTCCGGCGCGGGGGAGGATGTGTCCAGCGGCGCGAGGAGGAAGGGGCTAGGGTTTCGTCCGCGAAAATGGAAGGGGAGGGCCTATTTATAGGTAGAGGGAGCTAGAAGTGTCCAAATAAGGTGCGGTTTTCGCCCACACGATCGTGATCAAACGGTGGAGAGCATGGAAGGGAGTTAGATGGGCTAGTTGGGTTGTGTGAAGAGGTGCTGGGCTGCAAAGAGAAGGGGATTTTGGATAACTCGGTTAACTGTTGGGGCATCAAACGACCTTCAAATGGAACGAAATTTGACGGGCGGTCTACCGGTGATATACCAAGGCCACTCGGCAAATCTCGTCCCCTTCTGGGAATGTTTTTCGGCGGCTCACAAAACAAGATCTGAGAGGTGCGACGGGCGTGTGCGAGAGTGGTTGGGCTCAGAACGGACAACGGAGAGAACCGGGGGAACCCGAACGGATGCAAGTTTTGAAAAATATGTAGATGAAATGCAGAAGATGACATGGCAAAGTGCAACACGCAAGCAAATGACATGGCAACGACAACGAATAACTGGAAGACACCTAGCGCATCGGATTCGGGGCGTTACAAGCGAAGTCTTAGAGTTGCAGATGGACAAGAGGCTAATGTTGAAGCTGTTGGGACTTTCCCGTTAGTGCTAAACGATGGCTTCACCCTCCTTCTTAATAATGCTATTTATGTTCCTACCATGAGGAGGAACCTTATTTTTGTTTCTCTATTAGATGATGATGGTTTTGAGACTTATTTTGGAAACAAACGATGTGTTATTAAGTTTGGTCATGATGATATTGGTCATGGTGTTCGCCATGTCAAACTCTATAGACTCATTTTGAATGACTCCTCTGAATCTCTGAATGTTTGCGATGTAATAAATAAGTATGGGACTTCGTCGAAATTATGGCACCATCGTTTAGACCATATTTCGAAGGGGAGAATGGAGCGCCTCATTAAAGAAGATATACTTCACCCCTTAGACTTCTCAAATTTAGATCACTGCTTCGATTGTATTAAGGGAAAATTCGTACAACAAATTAAGAAAGGAGCAATTCGTAGTAGTGCGGTTTAATCTACACTGACATTTGTGGTCCATTTCCTATTACTTTTGTTGATGGATATGACTCCTTTATTACTTTCACCGATGATTATTCTTGTTATGGATACATGTTTCCTATTCGCGAATGATCTAAAGCACTCGATAAATTTAAAATCTACAAAGTTGAAGTAGAAAATCAGCATAATTTGAAGATTAAAGTAGTGCGATCAGATCGGGGCGGAGAATATTACGGGAGACATGCTCCTTATGGACAAATTCTTGGTCCCTTTGCTCTATTTCTTCAAGAGAATGGAATAATCGCCCAATACTCAATGCCGAGTGAACCTCAACAAAATGGAGTTGCTAAAAGACGCAACCGTACAATTATGGATATGGTACGGAGCGTGGTTTGCAACTCCGGTTTACCGGTTAATTTGTGGATGAAAGCATTGAAGACAGTCGTGCATATACTTAATCGGGGTCCTAGTAAGTCAGTACCCAAGACACCTTATGAATTGTGGACCGGGAAGAAACCCAAATTAAATTATTTGCATGTGTGGGATTGTCCCTCTGAAGCTAATTTTTTTAATCCACACGTTGGGAAATTAGATCCGAAAATGGTCAGTTGCCATTTTATTGGATACCCTGCAACATCCAAAGGTTTCCGTTTTTATTGTCCAACAGGTAGTACTAAAATTGTCGAAGCGAGGCATGCTAATTTTTTAGAGAATGTTAATGTCAGTGGGAGCTCTGAGGCAAGAAAAATCACGCTTGAGGAAATTCGGGCTGACATACCATTACCCATGATCCCAGAGTTTGTTGTTCCTTCGTCTTCAAGCGCAACACCTCCAGTTAATGATTCTGGGTTTACTGGTGCAACGCCTAATAATGAGCCTCACATAACTCAGTCTTCTGTGATATCTAATGAACCTTTATGTAGGTCACAGTAGGATAGAAGAGCTGCCATTAATATAGATGAATATGTTGTTTACATGAATGAAGATGGAAATGACAATGGTAAGGCAAATTATCCCACCTCCTTTGAGGAAGCCATGACAAGCGGACATTCGTCTAAGTGGCTTGAGGCCATGAATGATGAAATGGAGCCCATGAGTGTTAATGATGTTTGGGATCTAGTAGAAATTCCCGACGAAGTCAAAAAGGTGGGCTGCAAGTGGGTCTACAAAACTAAGCACGACTCTAAAGGAAATGTCGAACGGTTCAAAGCAAGACTTGTCGCTAAAGGGTTTACACAAAGAGAGGGCATAGACTATGTTAACACATTTTCTCCTGTCATGAAGAAGGATTCACTAAGAATTGTTATGGCTCTTGTTGCTCATTACAATTTAGAGCTACATCAGATGGATGTTAAAACCACATTTCTTAATGGGGACTTGCGTGAGAATGTATATATGGCTCAACCGGAAGGTTTTGTCGTAGAAGGCAAGGAACATATGGGATGTCGACTTTAGAAGGCAAGGAACATATGGGATGTCGACTTAAGAAGTCTATCTATGGACTAAGACAAGCGTCTAGAAAATGGTACCTTAAATTTGATGAGGTTATAAGGAAATTTAATTTTAAGGAAAATGAAGTGGACAATTGCATATACATTAAGACCAGGGGGAGCAAGTTTATCATATTAGTACTTTATGTGGATGATATCGTGCTAGCCAGCAGTGACTTAGACATGTTGTATGAGACCAAAAAATTTCTTTCATCTAATTTTGACATGAAAGATCTTGGTGATGCCTCTTATGTCCTGTTCATAGAAATTCACCGAGATAGGTCTAAAGGGACATTAGGATTGTCCCAGAGGACATATATTGGTAAAGTCCTTAAAAGATACAACAGGCATAACTGCTCTTCCACTCCCGCACCTATTGTTAAAGGTGATAAATTTGGTCTATTTCAGTGTCCCAAGAATCAATTAGAGATTGATCAAATGAACACAATTCCTTATGCCTCGTCTGTTGGGAGCATTATGTATGCTCAAGTATGTACGCGCCCCGACTTAGCGTATGTAACTAGAATGCTTGGCAGATATCAGTCTAATCCAGGCTTAGATCACTAGAAAGCTGTCAATAAAGTCATGTGCTATCTGCAAGGGACCAAGAATTATATGCTTACATATAGAAAGACTGACAACCTAGAAATTATGGGTTACTCAGATGTTGATTTTGCAGGGTGTGTGTATAGTAAGAAATCCACATCAGGTTATATCTTCATCCTTGCAGGAGGAGCAATTTCATGGAAAAGCTGCAAACAAACACTTATTGCATCTTCAACGATGCAATCAGAGTTTGTGGCATGTTTTGAGGCTACCGGGCAAGCTGTATGGCTTAAGAACTTCGTCCCCGGACTTAGAGTGGTAGACAGCATAAATAAACCGCTTACATTATTCCGCGATAATCAAGCTGCAGTTTTCCTTTCGAGTAACAACAAGTCAGGTGGTGCTGCCAAACATATTGACCTTAAGTATCTTGTTGTGAAAGATAGAGTCCAAGATCAAACAATTAAAATTCAGCATATCAGTAATAAATTGATGATTGCTGATCCCCTGACTAAAGGCTTGCCACCAAATCTCTTTCGAGAACATATTGCTAGCATGGGTCTAATGGAAAGCCTATAACGATTGGGGTAACTAAAATGATGAGATCTCAATATTTGGACTTGGAATAAGGAATTTGTTTTGCTTACTAAGTGCACATAATGATTAATAAAGAAACAAACTATTAGGACCATAATTAGGGAGTATGGATGCATGCATGTACATTATCTTGGTGTGATATTTTTGTCGAAGTATGGACTAATGATGTTAACCATTCAATCAAGTGGGAGAATGGTTACTATGTTAATTACCCTAAGTCAAAGTGGGCCCATTAGTTAATTACAGGATTAACACTAATCAATGGTAACTAGCAATTTGTGCTTGTGATTGGGGGGCTAATTACTAATCTGGTATAGGTCTCACGTCATATACAAACGCTATATATAAAGGAGGGCATCCCTGCACCTATTTGATCGTCGTATCGTTTAGGATAACAGTGCCCTCCGAAATTCACTTCAGTCCAATCGGGAGTGCGCTGGACGTTGACGTGAAGGCCTGTCCTTGCTCCGGCGAGGTGCCAAAGTGATCTACTACGCTGTTGCAGTTCGTCATGGGACTCCACTTCCTCCACTGAGATGGTCTCTCCAAACGGAGGTATAAACACACTACTGTCCACTAATTTCCACATCAAATCGAGTAGTGTTCATGTGTATTAGATAAAATCTGATTAGCAGTTGCATAATTTCAGCAATTAGTCTAACAGTTTGGAGCCTCTCATAGATGAGTACAACTGATGACGAAGACCAAAAACATTGCTCTATAAGATGATGACACCACTTTAATGTCGTCAATATTAACGAAAAATGTACACATGTTGTTATAAATAACATCGGCCACGTAAGTACTTATATTTTCAGATAGAGGGAGTAAAACAAAGCTCTAAGCTGGCATTGGTTTTGGATATCATTTCCCTTCCAGCCCCATTTGGCCATCTTTTGTCGGGAACAGCCTAGAGCTGGATCTCGGGCAAACGCACCCTAAACTTCCTAAATTTGTTTTTTTTGTACTGCTAGCCCAACTAATTAACAAGCCAACCAATAATTAATAACGATGGTAGTTGTCAAGAACAAATTTGAATGATTCTAACCTAGCAGGGTTGAAATTAGCTAACCTATGTATTTGAATCTAGAACAAAATTAACAAAGCCTAAGAATTGCATAATTGAAAGTTTCGCACTTCATTAGCTCTCTGATCTCAATGATACAGTTTGATTACTAGGTACTTCCTCCCTCCCAAAATTCTTGTCTTAAATTTGTCTAAATACGGATGTATCAAGTCACGCTTTAGTATTAGGTACATCCGTATCTAGAAAAATTTAAGACAAGAATTTTGGGACGAGGGAGTACTATCTTAAACTAGCTATCTTAGAGCATTACTAGTAGTACCCCTAAACCCTCAAACCCTCAAAAATAACCGCTTTTTTACGGGTTGAGACGAAAAAATCGCAAAGAATAGAACCCCTTAACCCTTAAACCCTTAAATTTTTTTTAGAGGCTCAACCCCTATTCTCCTTCCCAGCCTGTAGAAACAGGGGTTGGCAGCCCAACCCCTTCCCGACCCGGTTCTCTCGTCAGTTTCGCGCGGGAGGGAGTTTTCAGCTCCCCTCCCCAGATCTGGCCGCCGCCGGCCTCCGGCCACCCTGCCCGGCGGCCCTCCCGCCGCGCCGCGCCCCGTCGCGCACCGC